GTAATTCGGAGTCGCGTAACTGTATTCGAATTATTATGCAACGTAAACGATACGTGAGAGAGAGAGAGAGAGAGAGAGAGAGAGAGAGAGAGAGAGAGAGAGAGAGAGATTGAGAGAGAAAGAATGAAGGAGAGAATGAGTGCAGAGCAGAAAGGTGAGATGAAAAATAAAAAAATACATTTGACTAATTAACAATGATCGGGTACACGCAGCGGTATAACAGACGTCATTGTGTCTTAGTTCGTAAATAAATGCGGATGCCCGCGGGCAATCTGTGAACTGAGTTGTGTAGTGTTAAGCGCACTCTCTTATTTTTTTTTTTAAATTAAACTTGAAAAGTCTCCTCGATTGCGTATTCAAAAGCTCCCGTTTCCACTGATAATATTCAGCTTGCGCCTACGAAATATCCTATAATCGCTGAATTTTCGTTATTTTTCTACGTCTCGCGAGATATCTCCAAATTTTTGACAATTTTTGTTTCTTTCGCGTTTAATCGTACATTTGATTATTTCTGTTTCCGTTGGTAAGATTCAAGTCGAATAATCAAAACAGATATTCTGTATTTCTTTTAAATTATTTCTCTATCGTCCTCTGTTTTTTTTTCTACACCAGAGTTTTTGGGTTTCTGCATTCGTGATACGGAAACGCTTTCCTCGGCAAGTGGCAAAGCATCGTTTTCTCACGGATGATTTTTCTTAGCATCGATTTTGATCATTTTTAAACAAGGAGAATCGGATGGAGTAAGTCAGGGTTCGAGTTTGGCATAAAACAGTAAAAGCTTTGATTTTTTGCTGCAAATAATACGTCAATTATCTCGATATATTCGCAACATTAAGAACTAAAAATAGCAGTTACTAAATATGCCTAAGTCAGTTTATCGCGCCTGAAAAGTCAACCGTTCGCATATTTTTTCCGGATGCTATCGGATTATAGCATGACGACATGCAGCGATTCCAAAATGAAAAGTTTTCGAGAGGAGGAGATAGGAGGGTGGGCAAAAAAAAGTAACTCTTTAACTCTTACGTACCTGTTCTATGTAATATACGTCTAAGTCCGCAATCAAAGTAAATCATTTCACCGAAAGAAAGTGATCAAAATGAGACGTCGATCAAAAGAAGCCTCGCGTTTGTAATATACATAGACGAAGAGTCTACTTAGACGTGAAACTCGAATCGTCCCTTTTTATATGACACTGCATCGAATCCAGTAGCCGCAGATTAATACGTGATTAGCGATTAGAGAATCCGATATTTTGTGTGTATATCTCAGCGTTTGTACTTCGCTTCGTTCCGTACTTCTCTGTGCTGACGTTAAATATCGATATCTTAATACTTTAGATCGACCAATGTGATTCTGTGGCTTAGCACCCCCAATCCTCGCTCGTGTTCGTATCGAGATTCCAAGAGAATGCTTGACAATTAGATTCGTGCTAGTTTGACGGCACGATTTTTCTACAATGATATACCTTTTTCCTGCCCTGTTTTCAAATTATAGAATGATATTAATTATGAATTCGATAAAGTCGTAGGGCATTTAAAAACTTACGCGATAAACGAATGCGTACGAGAGCCGATCTGTAGGACATTAGAAATTAAGCTTGTAAGATACATTCTTTGTAAGCTCCATAGTTTTTCATCGTTAGGATGTAAGGATTTCTACTCTACATTAACGTGTTGGCAAACACAAATATCGAGGCATAGTAGATCTATGAAAAATACGAAATCTATTTAACAATGTATGTCCACTTTTCTCCTTATATCCGGTTAAATCCTGTATTAGATTATACGGACAAAGATTGTCGCCTGTAACGCTTTCCACGTCTCCCAAATCAAAAATTTATTCAACAAAGTCAATTTCTAACAGTTGTTATTACTCTTGTGTTGCTTTCCTGAAGCAATTTGCTTGTAATTAATTAAAATTAGATTCCCCAAAATGCAGAGGATATCTAGACTTAAAGAAAATAACTTTTTTACTTTTAATGTTTCTTCATCTATCGTATTTTTTTCAATTTTGCATTTTTTTAACTATAGACACTCCACAATGTCAAATCGCATATGCGTAAAACTAGCATAAACAAATCGAATGTTACAACGCGTAGCTAGTAGCAGCCAAGAAGCAATAGCAGAGAAAGTTCAGAACGCTTTGAGAATTTTGTAAAATCTATAGATGTTTTTCCGAGCCTTGGGCACATGCGTGTAGTCAAATTCACACGCAGTTAAAATGCAAGTTTTGTATAATTGGTTCCATTGATTTAATTATTTGCCATTCAAACTTATCCTGGTGAAAATTTTTCTTAGATTACATGTTTCAAAATTTCTATACAAATTTGAGAATTTTTCTATATAATTTTATAACTTTTTAAAAAATTTCTCAGTTTTTATTACGAATTTATTAGACATGAACTTTTCAAAAATGTTGAAAAAGTATATCTTTTCTCTATTATATGAATTCTGAAATATTCTAAGATTTCTCATTTTATAATTTCTAAAGAAAATTTATAAAATTTAAAGAAGTTTAAGACATTTTTTTAAATCTTCATAAATTTAAAATATACAAATTTTTATAAGTATAAAATTTTTTGTGTCAGAATAATTAAATGTTTTTCTAAAATGGTATACGCCGTTCAAGAACCAGGAATGAATTACCGGTGAAACATTTCACGGTATTTAATTTGTAGAATTTTCGTTAAATTGTATTTTATATTAACAGTTTAATGCAAGACTGCGTGTCAATTGAGGTTCTACGCAGCGCAGTTCGTCAAATTTTCATTAGTGAAGTGTTGTCCATGAAGTTTCGTGTCTCGAGTTTAATATGTTATATAAATTAGAGCACGTAATTATATTAACTAAGCATGCGACTGAATAATCAATCTGAAATTATTGTAATAGAAAAAGGAGATTTGTAGAATTTATGTACATATAGGTATATACATATGTATATGTATATATATATGTATATATATATATATGCCCATAAATAGTTTGCTGGTAAAGGATTTGCTTGCTTTACGCGACGTCGATTCACTGTATACCTGCGGATTGTGTACACGTACAGCGGGACGATATTGTATAAAACAAGCACATTGTTTGCAAGCAAATGTTATATATACTTATATTGTAACAATTGATTAAAAACCAGGGTATGTCTTAATATGTGTACGTGTAATACGTTGATTCATATACGATACACCCCGCGATCACCAAATCGTCGGGACGGCGAACGAAATAATTACCGTGTATTATAACAACGTCCGGCGGGGCATGTTATATTGTAAATAAACGACGGCGTTATTTCGCTGATGCGTTTCGAGCATGTACTACTGTAAATGTATTATTGGGGATCATAAAAAAGGGGGCGCGAAAAACGAAAGCGTATAAAGCGTCGATGGTGTTTTGATTTTGAACAAAAGAAGAAAAAAGTGAAACGGCAATTCGGTATTAGACCGCCCGCGCCGCGCCGTAGATTTTTTAATTATTATCGTTCCTGCCTATTCGCAATCTGTGACTACAATATCTCGTAAATACGTCGGACCAATGTCGTTGTGAGCACTAGCTGTAAACTGTAACAGCCTTCATCGTTGATTACCCTCATTATTATCACTAACGAAAAGAAAAAAAAAAGGGGAAAAATAGAAGAAAGACATCGTCGCGCATTTCGATATAAGAGATCTGTTCTTTCTGAGAAGCTTCTTACACAGTTCTTCTCTTTTTTTTTTAGTATGAAAAAACCGTGCAAGAAGAGCTAGAAAGAGCAGGCCTAAAAAAATGTGTTTGGTCTTTTCCTGTCAAATTGCAAAATTCAATTTTTTGTTCATACAAGAATTATTGTTCACATTTCACGCAGCACATTTTATCCGAAAAATATCCTGGAAATTTTCTTATGACGGTCAAAGGACATAAGAACGTCTTTAACATTTTCTTTGGAGATCTGTGCTGTATATGGGCATTTATGTAAGATAAATGTCTCTTGTTTTAAATTACATAACGTTAGTTGTAATATACATGTTCTACGTGATATATACAATGTATACGTGTTTAGAGAAAGCAGATTTAAGGAAATTTCTATCAATGTAGATTAATTTTAATCTCAGTTTAACTTACTTTTTATCTTCTTGTAGTTCTAAGTATTAGAAAAAAATAAAGAGTAAATTAAACCGAGATCAAAGTTAACTTATATTGATAGAAATGTGCCATATCCAAAATTAATTGATCTTGACGCGAATAACGACTGATGTCTTTTTTATAACGTGCCCATTATTACAATGTATGAATCACTTTACGGAGAAAATAGAAATTTATTACAGCTGAGAAAGTTTGTACAGTTGAAAATGGGCTCGCGTTCGATAGATGCTCTATGTATAATTCTAGGCTCTTACCCGTGGAACTCTTTTTTATACGTACGATGCTCACACCGACAAGGCTTGCAGAATCTCACCGAGATGATCCCTGGTCTCAACACGATAATATATTACGGAGAACATGATTTTCAAAGAATTAGTTCTCGAACTACGTTGAGCTCTCTCTTTGCGGAGTCAATTTGCGGTGTATTATTATCGATGAGGGAAGAAATTTTCTCAGCTGCAGCTTCTATTGAGGTTTGTAATTTCTTTTCAGTTGCTCGAGGCTCGGAGTCGTTATTTCAAGCAGCGTGTACATTAAGGTGACTAATTCCTTAAGGCAGAGGGACATTTTTAAAAAATTCAATATTAATTATCATAATTATTTTAATAAACATTTTAAAAATAATTGTTAACAAAACACATAAACAATATATTATTATATTTGTAAATAACTAACAACACTTAATGTATAACATCACATGAGATCACAACAAAAATTACGTTATGTTACGAGATTTTCACATTTTCTTTTTTAAAATTGTACTTTTCTACTGAATATATTTTATGAATAATATATCTAGGTTTTTCAATAAAAAATCATAAAATTCTTTACATATTAGTTAAAAATTATATTTCATACACTTATCATTTTCACTTATTTCATATTTATTATTTTCACACTTAAAAGAGGGACATTTTATAATCATGTCTTTAATTTAGGACAAAATTTGGGACGCGTTGTAAAGTGGTATGAAGAATAAAAATTTGGGATTGTCCCTCCTAATTTAGGTTGATTGGTCACTAAGATGTACATTCATTCGCAATAGCGAGTGAATTACTATTGTCACGATATATGTATTAAATACACTGACGATAATAACATTAACAATACAACTACAAAATGAATGTTGCCTTTTGTCACATTGGTAAACGAGCAAGATACTAATAAATTATATGCGATTAATAATGTAATAATCTATTGTATTATAAGTACTAATACCGCGCGATCACGCATTATGTACAACGTCGTGGAGATTATTTCGTATGATTGTAAATGATATGTGTGTTGCGTTGATGTAACGCGTCCCTATATTGCAGTAGGGCTGTGAAATAAATCAACCAGACACTTCTCGCTAGTCTTGTCACTTGTCCCTAAAACACAGTCGCGTAGTAGGAGTAAAGTTTTATTAAACCGTGTCTTTTTCAGAGAAATGCATGCCTAAGGGATCACGCTATTCTTTATTCTTACCTTAACATAGTTTACAGTTATAATATTATATTAATCTACATATTCAATTATTCTATACAATTAGCACCATGTGCTTATATATTTTGATTGATATATAAATAAAAAACAGTATTCTGAATAAAATCTGATGTAGACACACATGAATAGACAAATTTTCTTGATAGTGTCGAAGATAATTCTTATCAGATCTGCATTTGGTCATTTCAAAATGTCGTTGGCGGTACGATAGAACTATTATTTTGTATTACTTTTTGCAACACACTGGCCTGTGTAGAAGATGCTACCAATTCAGTCATATTGGTCGAAATAGTACTGTTAGATGGCGCGATGTAGAAATGAACCAGAAGTATCGTTGTCAATAGTACATGCGATGTCAGAATTGTAGCACCATATACAATCTTCCCTTTAATCCCTGTAAAATCAATTATTAAATATATTTATTTTGCTTGATATATTAATTTTACTTGCTTTAATTAATTAAGATTAATTTGATTTAAATGATTTTTCATGTATTTTTTATACAATTGGAAAATTTATGTTGAACTTAACATAAGATAAATATGTTAAGCTTAACACAAATATTATGTAACAAATTAACACAAAAATATAACACTGACACAATTTGTAAACAAATTGTGGAAGAATATTTCTTCAATAAAATTAACATTTATAATATGTTCAGTTAACATTTTAATCATTTATCTTAAAATTTACGTTTTAAAATACATTATTTTGTATTATTGGTTCACTCATTCATAAATTGTGTTATTTTAACACTAAGAAACATAAAAATCAAATTAATACAAAATATTCAAATACAATCATATTATGTTATATTAACATTTTAGGATATGTTATATTAACACTATAATATACATAAAAATTTTGAGAACTGGTTTTGACACAATATTTTTTATCGTGTATACATTTTAAAGATAAATATATATCTTTACTTTCAAATGCTGGTAGTAATGATCGTAGTAAAACTCCTCCAGATAAAACCGTCACTGGTATGATTAGACTCCTTTGTAACCAGCGAATTTGAATTATCCACAGGAAAGATACTGGAATAAAAATGCTTAAGGAATATCCATACAGACACAAAAGGTCTAAGAGTCCTGGGACGACATAAGCCTGAAAAAAAAACCAAAAAATTACAAGGAAAAATGAATACTAGAGATTTAAAGGAAAAAAAAATTTAATATAGCAAACCTGGATCAATTCCTCTCCCGGTAATCGATGAAGTTTGTTGAAACACTTGAATGTACCCCATAGGAGTAATGGTACAAACAACACATAGATAAATATAATAGTGGCTGCATATGTCACAATATGAAAATCATATCTCCAGTGATACTTGCTAGAGTCAGCAGTCTGCAAATAGTTTACCACGTTTTCGCTAATCGCGATAGCAAACACCAGAGTCACGCTTATCCAAAAAGGCCCATATAAATCTGGATTTGTCCTTATGTGCGTTACAAGATAATTGTCGTTACCATATGGTATCATAGAAAGCTTGACCTTCTCCAAGACGTCGTTTGTGTTGACATTAAAGAATTTTTGGTAATATTCAATTGTCCAGAAGTTGTTCTGGGCAATATCTAAGAAACAACATATTCTCATTTAAGTCACAATGATTGTTTATTAATAGAAAATGAAACTGAGAAATTCTCCAAGAAGCTACATAAACCTTCGGTTTTAGCGGGTATTCCTTGTAAATCTTCTATCATGCCGATATCTATCGAATCATTTGGAAGGTTATTAAAGGGCTGGTGAGTGGAAGCCCCGGTGCCCAGCTGTCCTTCGGAGTTGTCAGCATGACTTATCGATGAAGGGAAATCGTGGAAGGATATAAACTGCGGATCCGTGTCTTTTGATTGACCACCATCCATGATTCTTCTTTTTCTTCTATATTATGGCTTTTGTCTCCTCTCCCGTAAAATGAATACAGTCAACGATTCAATTGCGATATTACCCTTTACCCCGGATCTACAATAGAGTTTTAAGCCTTAAACCATAAGAAATGAACGAATCATAATCGATTATTCTCCTCGAATTCGACTGTAATTGATCAATTTCTTACGACTTAAGGCTTAAAACACCTATTGTAGATCCGGACTTATCAGTGATGCACATTTCACGGCCCAGAGCAAAGCAATTCAATCTGATTCAGCCCCTCCATTTTCCGCCACCGTGATACGAAGCGAGCGAGACAGCGAGAAGTCCGTCCTTCTCGCATTCATGAGCTTTCAGCAGCTTTCAGTGCGCTGAGTGAATGAAAGAAAAAGAGAATCGCTCGTTGTCTCGCTCTTTCTTATTTCCAGTTTGACAGATGCGATGTATCAAAATCAAGCCTGGGACGTCCACGCCGGCTTTTTTCCTATTCATTAAATTCCCCGCGCACTAACGTCAACCACCTATAGCACCGACGAGATATTGGCTACGTTTACACCGTGCGCTTAGTCCGCGACCTATACGATAAGTGTCTTTGTTTAACCTACAAGATAAACAAGGACATCTATTGTATAAGCCGCGGCCTAAATGCACGGTGTAGCCATTAAAGACGGCCGGTCTTAAGCCGGAATCAGACTACGCATTGAAGATTGAGATTGAAGATTCAAAGATTAAAATTTGGCCAGTGAGAACAAAGGAATTTTAGCTCCTATTATTTTGATTGGTCAAATTTCAATCTTTCAATCTTCAATATTCAATGCATAGTCTGATTCCGGCCTTACGGAAGCTCGCGTGACTGTTAAAATTTAAGTGATGAGTAAAAAAATTGATAATATAGTACTAATTTTATGATTTATTAGATTTGTGAACATGTATGTATGTTTAAAACTCAATAATATTCGATTTTTATTTAAAACTGTGATTTTAATGTTATTGTCAGTGTTTGATAATCAATCAGCCATACTCGATCGGTAAATGAAAAGTTAAAACCCAGTTCCTATAGCGAGATTCTCTAAACGTTTTATTGATGATTGTCGCTATAGTTAACTTGCGACAGCCAATGTCAGGATAATCCTGGAAGAAAGCGCGGCTCTCATTGGCTGTCGTTAGTTAACGATAGCGACAATTGTCGATAAAACGTTTAGAGAATCCCACAACTGGATTGGTCATCCACTGCGCATCTGCTGCAACGACGGCAACGTTATTTCGTTTTTCATGTTCATGCCAGTGTTGTTAAGATTGTTAAACCTAAAGCCCGTATCAGACTACCGACTGGCTGTTGACCAATAATGGACCAATCACATTGAATCAGTCTTATTGTGATTGGTCCATTATTGATCGGCAGTCAGAGTTGGCAGTCGGGTCGGCTTGCAGAGTCGATAGTCTGATACGGGCCTAAGACTAGGCATTGAAGATTGAGATTGAAGATTGAAAGATTGAAATTTGACCAATCAAAACAATAGGAGCTAAAATTCCTTTGCTCTCATTGGTCAAATTTCAATCTTCAATCTCAATCTTCAATGCGTAGTCTGATTCCGGCCTAACATGTATTCTACAATAAGCCATTAGTCATAAATCAGAAATGAGGAATTGACGACTGTGATTGGTCAATTTCCAGCTTCTCATTTCTGATTTATGACTAATGGCTTATTGTAGATGGCCATTAGGTTTGTTCGCGTCGCAAGCTCGAACATGCTCCAATGTGCTCCTACTATATCTCCTACTCACTCTACCAAGCGCGTTGGAGTAAGTAAGAGCTATAGTAGGAGCATATTGGAACATGTTGGAGCATGCGACGCGACAAAACCTCTTGTGTCCACGATGCTAAAACTCGGTCCGAGTTCTGGGATCGAAAAATGTGTAGCCAATCAACTTGCCAGTTTTCCGTAAAAACTGTAAGCTGATTGGCTACACATTTCACGATCCGAGAACTCGAGTTCTATCATCGGGTTTCAGGCGCATGCACGACGATGAAGCAGCGAATACAGTGGTGTTATGCGGGGTCTACAATAGAAGTCG